AACTAGTTTGGAGCGACCGACACGGCCGCGGTGGCGCTGACTGCTTGGCACTTCCCAGCGGGCACTTCAAGGCGAGTCGGCCACTTGGGCGGGCGCGGTATCACAGCCACGTCGACAACGGTAGAAACGATGATGATGGCAGCGACGCTGGTGACGATGATGACACCGGCGACGGCACGGCCAGTGACGGCGCCGAGGCTGATCGCGCCGACGACGATGACGGCGTCCTCGCGTCGGTGATGCAGGATTTGGAAGGAGTTCGACATGGGCGCGCGGGCGACGCGCAAGAATGGACCACATGGCGTCAGTTGACGCGGATCGTGCACCCCAGCACGCGCGCAATGGCGTCCGAATGATTTCGACACGCGACGCGAAAGGCCCGTTCGGTGGAAATGCGGGCGGGTGGACATGGTGAAACACCTGTGGCTTTCTTGAGAATTCGCAAGAGCACGAGCGCAGCTTTGGTTCAAACCTGATGTTGCGAAACCATGTGTTTGTAGTTGTTTCGGGGCATTCGATTTTGAAAACCTTCCGAAACCTAAGAGGCTTTGAAGGATTTCGGCATGCGCGTGCGATGGCACGTATACACACACATATATATATATATATATATATATATATATATATATGCATATACATATATATGCACAAGACTGCAGTGGCGCTTCGCGCCATGCACCTTGATCCTTGAAGTTTGGCATGCTGGCGGAATGGCAGGAAGGCCAAGCCGATAATTTAGCGATAATTCCTTGTTGCCTTTTTCCGGCATCGCCGCTATAATAATGTTATTCGTTATCCTTCCTCCATGTTTTTTCCTTACTTTCGCCATACCCTGCGCATTCTCCCCATCCTCCTCAGCTTTTTGTTTGCGGAGGCTCCTCCTTGGAGAGCCCCTTGGGGCCTCGCACAAATTGTTTCAGGCTTTCTTAAGGCCTTCTGGAGGCCTCCTGGGCGTATTCTGGGGGCCTCTTGGGGCTTCCTCGGGCCACCCTGCCTCCAACCGCGGTCTCCCTGAACGACCGGGTCACGATTTGGAATGCTTCGGAAGGTGTCTTTGGGCCATCTTGGGCCGCCATGGGGCTGTCTGAGGGCCATCTTGGAGCCGTGTTGTGCCGTTTTGGGGCTCTCTTGGACTGCCTGGAAACCCTTTCGGATGGTTGTGGGGCGATTTTGGAGCCTCCCAGGCGGCTTCGGACCCCCAGAAGACCGCCGTTGCAAAGCGTCGGGAAACCGAAAAGAGGAGAACCCCCAAATTCACCAAAAACCAATTGAAAATCAATGATTTTTGCCTCTGGGGGCCTTCTTGGGAGTGCTTTTGGAATCTTGGAGGCCTCTTTGGGGCCGTCCTGGAGGCCTCTTGGGCCATCTTGAGGTCACGTCGGTCACTCTTGGAGCGCTCTTGTGCTGTCTCGGGGGTCTCTGGGACGTCCCCGATGACCCCCCTGATCGCCCTAGGTGTGCTGGGAAGGCTTGGCAAAACGCCCTGCAAGGCCCGGAGGGTCCCAAAAACCCAAATCCCGGGAGTCCGTTTTTTTTGTTGGGGAGGTCCCCCCGCCCGGGCTTGTAAACATAGAAGAAGAGGAACATCTATATATATATAAATATATATATATATATATATATTATATATAATGCGTAGAGGATGATAGGGGGGCGTTACCAGCCTGCCTGACATCATATGAGTTCATATTCTGGACGATGGGGCAGAATCATATGTGAATTGCAATACCAAGCGGGGGCGGTTAAATCCAAGGGGGGGCGGGTAGATCCTAGTACTCTTTTCGAAAGGAGAATATCTGCAGTGCAGTCTGCGTAGTGCAATCGATGCCGAGACGACCGGCGGCGACGAGGAGGCGACGGGGCGGCGACGGCGACAACATAGCCGCCAGACCGCCACGCAGGCCCAGACGACGGGCGGCGACGGGTTGGCGACGGCGACAATATAGCCGTAAGACCGCCACACAATCCTAAATAATGGGGAGCGACGGGGCGGCGACGGCGACAACATAGCCGCCGGACCGCCTCACAGGCCCTGTTCCTCAGAAAAGAAATAAGGCAGCCTAAATGCAAGCGTTATCTGGGGAATAGACAGAAATGGGGATGGCCAAAGTGGAGGAAGATTACGGAGGATGGTGATGGGAGGAAGGGAGAAGGATCAGGAGAGGGAGCAGGGATATACGAATGAAGGTGATGCTGCTGCTTGTGATGATGCTGACGAGGAATCCCAAAACTCTGGGCCGAGGTGGTTTGGAGCGTTTCCTCTTCCATTCTCTCCCTGTTTCCCCTTCGGGGAGGGGGTCATCCCTGCTCCTCATGAACAATCACGCCCTGCCCCATGCGACCGGCAACAAACCAAGGACAATGCCATCCTCACCATCCCTGTCAAACTGTCCGGGCGAAGGACCCGGCCATACGCAGGTGTGAATACCGCGAGGCAGGTGAGGCGCAGGAGGAGGGGCTCCCTGTGGGGCCTCGGAATGTATGAGGGGTGCGCCAAATTCCAATAGAGGGGACGAATGAGAACGCAAACCCTGGGACCTTCGGTGGAGCTCCCTCTGGGAGCAAGGAACGCGTAAAGGGGTGTGCCGCTGTGGGTGGAGAACCGCACGCGGCACCACGCTTCTGGGGACTTCGGTGGAGCTCCCTGTGGAGCCACGAAACGTGTGGCGGGTGTGCCGGAATGGCTGGGGAGCCGTATGCGGCACCATTGCTTTTGGGGCCTTCGGTCGAGCTCCCTGTGGGGCCACGAAACGTGTGAGGGGGTGTGCCAGAATAAATGGAGAACCGCATTCGATACTACGATTTCGGGGCTTTCTGTGAAGCTCCTTGGAGCTCATCGTGGGTCCACGAAACGTGTGAGCGGTGTGCCGCAATGGGTCGGGAAACACGTGCGGTACCACGCTGTTCGGGTCTTCGGTGGAGCTCCCTGCGGGGCCACGAAAAACAAGTGAGAGGTGTGCCGAAGCAGAGACGCGGGGAAGATGGGGAGGGACCTGACAATGATACGGATGGCGAGAATGTTGGTGATGATGACACTGCTGATGATGATGGTGATGATGGTGACGACTTTGTTAATGATGATGATGATGATGATGATGATGATGATGATGATGATGATGATGATGATGATGATGATGATGATGTTGGTGAGAATGGCGAGGAGGATGCTGATTATGACACGGCTATGGTGCCATCATGACGGCGACATGCGGAGGACAGAAGCAATAATGAGAGAAGGGAGTAGGGGGATGATGAACGAAGAAGGAGCCGCAGGGCGCTGCTGATTCAAAACGAGGACCCAACGCCACAGTATGGCCAGGGAAACATTACAACTACACTTTGCGGCAACACTTTTGGGCTATGCGCTGGCGCCCCGCGATCTCTCTGAATTGCTTTGTGGAATGGGTGGGGTGGGGGGGGGCCCTCACATCGCCTGGTGCGTGCGGGCACACCATCCCTGTCAACAACTTTCACGCACAAAGTACAAGTGCACATGCCATGCACAATGATGGCCAACCCGCAAGTTCGCACTATTTCTTTCATCGGGATGGTGGTGGTGGGGGGACATGTTTCCCGATGCGTGCTGCCACGTGCACTGGCAACCCTGGCGCGGGTGGAGCACATGGCACGCTTGGACGTGGCACATCTAGGCTGCCCCATTGCCTGTCCATCCTCTGTCGACCCCCGAATATGCGGAGACTTGGGTGCTACTTCCGTGTTGGGGAAAGCGGGTGGGAGTGAGCGAGGCGGCTTGCGGCTTGCGTTTGGCTTGACCCCTCCCGCTACTCCGTCCCTCTGGGTCTGGGGGGGGGGGTCTGAGAAGGCCTCCGCGAGAAAACACGAATCTTGGATGTCCCGTTGGTGCTGATGGCTCCAAGACGGGCCGAAAAGCTCCCACGAGAGTCCCCCGAGACGGCCCCAATATGCCCACAAAGGGCCCCACGATGCCCCTGAGAAGCCTCGAACAAGCGAAACGGCCCCCCAGAAGCCCGCAGGGGGCCTCTCCAAGGCCAGCAGCAGGCCTCCTTAGACGCCCCAAGGGGCTCCTAGAAGGCCGTCAAGAGGCACCCCAAAATATCCAAAAAGGTATCCAAGGGGCCTGTGGCCCACTGAGCCTACTCGAGATATCCCGATGATGCCACTCTTCACCGATGAGGGCAACTCCCCTGGGCATCGTTCCTGGATGGGCAGGTGGGGATACACATACACGAAGCATTAATCTTAGGATGGCGATGATGAGTACCAATGATACGAACATGAGTATGAGTATGAGTAAAAGTAGGAGTGCTCTTGTGTGGGTATGAGTTTGAGTCTGAGTATGAGTATGAGTATGAGAATGGGTATGGGTATGGATGTGGTTATGGGTACGGGTATGAATATGAAAATGAATACAAATACAGGTGCGATAAGTATGAACAATGATGATGATGATGCTGATGATGATGATGATGACGATGGTGATGATGATGACGATGATGCTGCTGATGCTGATTGTGATGATGATGATGATGATGATGAAGAAGACGACGTTGCTGATGCTGCTGCTGATGATGACGATGCGGAGGATGCTGCTGCTGCTGCTGCTGCTGCTGCTGCTGATGATGATGATGATGATGATGATGATGATGACGATTATGATGACGATTCTGATGTGGTGGTGGTGATGATGACGACTCTGACGTCGTGACTTTTACACAACATGCCCCCTCCCCTCGGATGTCTGGACCCCTTCTGGGCGCTGTTCGAGAAACACCAGCGCAATACGAAGGGACGAGCGGGATGGGGTAGGATGTTGGATATGTCACGAGCACACCTGGCTTGCCCCTCTCATCTCGCATCACTCCTTTTTTATATGCTTTTGGTTGTTTCTCTGTCCCTCTGTCTCTCTTTGTTCTGTCGTTTCCTCCATGCCCACCGGCCTGCCTGAAGGCTGGACGGTCCCCACCAGCAAGCACCTGCGATCCTGGGCCGTGCACCTAGCGCCCTCCCCTGGCCCCCACCAATACACCGGATACCTGTAGCACCAGTCGAACAGCGGCCTGAAGCGCCCGGCGGTCTTCGGCCTGGGGGAGGCGAAGGGACGTCTCCTTCAGGACAGCCGCCGCCAATGCGGCCGCTGCTCCCCCTTCTCCGACTGCCACCAGTCTTGCTGCCGCCGCTCCTCCTCCTCCTCCTCCTCCTCCTCCTCCTCCTCCTCCACCTCCTTCCTCCTCCTCCTCCTCCTGCTCCTCCTCCTCCTCCTCCTCCTCCTCCCCTCCTCCTCCTCCCTCCTCCTCCTCCTCCTCCTCGGTCCTCTCCCCTCCTCCTCCTCCTCCTCCTCCTCCTCCCACCTACCTCCTAGCCTCCTCCTCCCTCCTCCTCCTCCCTCCCTCCTCCTCCTCCTCCTCCTCCTCCTCCTCCTCCTCCTCCCTCCTCCTACCCTCCATCCCCACTCCTACCTCCTCCTCCTCCTCCTCCTCCTCCTCCGCTCCCGTCCTCCTCCTCCCTCCTCCTCCTCCTCCTCCTCCTCCTCCTCGCTCTCCTCCTCCTCCTCCCTCCTCCTCCTCCTCCTCCTCCTCCTCCTCCTCCTCCTCCTCCTCCTCCTCCTCCTCATCCTCCTCCTCCTCCCTCCTTTTTGCTCCACGCTCCTCCTTCTCCTCCTTGCCCTCCTCCCTCCCCCTCCTCCTCCTCCCTCCTCCTCCTCCTCCCTCTCCTCCCTCCTCCTCCTCCTCCCTCCTCCTCCTCCTCCTCCTCCTCCTCCCCGCCTCCTCCTCCTCCTCCTCCTCCTACCTCCTCTCTCCCCTCCTCCTCCTCCACACTCCTCCTATCCTCCTCCTCCTCTCCTTCCTCCTCCCTCCTCCCTCCTATTTTGGGCTCCCTCCTTCCTCCTCCTCCCTCCCTCCAGCCACCTCCTCCCTACCTCCCCCTCCCTCCTTCCTCTCCTCCCTCCCCGTCTCCTCCTCGCTCCTTCCTACCGACCTCCTCCTCCTCCTTCTATTCTTCTCTTCTTTCCTTCTCCCCTCCTCCTCCTCCTCCTCCTCCTCCTCCTCCTCCTCCTCCTCCTCCTCCTCCTCCTCCTCCTCCTCGTCTCCCCATCACTTCTCCTTCTCCTCCTCACCATGGCCACTCTCCCGCCCGTGCCCGCCACGCGTCGGCTTCTCCAGCGCGAGCCCGCCTCCTCCTCCTCCTCCTCCTCCTCCTCCTCCTCCTCCTCCTCCTCCTCCTCCTCCTCCTCCTCCTCGTCTCCCCATCACTTCTCCTTCTCCTCCTCACCATGGCCACTCTCCCGCCCGTGCCCGCCACGCGTCGGCTTCTCCAGCGCGAGCCCGCAGCTCCTTTCGCCCCCTCCGCTCTCTGCGCCCTCCCGCGGCTCGCCCCCTGCCCCCCCCCTTGGCCTTCTTCGCGCAGGAGGCATCGACACACCACCGCCGTGCCAGGCCAGGACCACCCTGGGCCCTGGCGCGCTGTCTCCGCCCTCCTGGCCGAGGCCAGGCGGGTCTACACACCACCCTGGGGCCCAGGATTGCGCTGGCCGGGCACGGCGGTGGTGTGCCGATGTCCTTGGCGGATTCTTACCTCAGGCCCCCGACGCCTGGGTAACCCAACCTCGCGCACCGCGACCCGCGTTGCTCGACGCGCGGTTACCTGCGCGCCCTCGCGCCCTCGGGAGGGCAGAGCCGCTCTGGCCCGGACCGCGGGCAGCGACGCGCGATTCTCTCCGCGCTCCCGCGGGTGACCTGGCGTTCCCACCTTCGCAACCCACGCCTCCTCTAGTCAGGCCGCTGAAAGAAGGAACGCTGAAGAAGGAACGGGGCCCCTTCTGGGCCCCCAAACCTCCTGCGTTCACGAGGAGGGCCAAGGCAACAGCCCTGGAAAGACCCAAGGAACATCCGGCCCCTTCTGAGCCCAAACTGTGCCGTATCTCAGCGTCTTGGCTGTGCCCTGCGTCCCTGCGTCCTCCCGCCCCGCCCAACACCCTTCACGCCGCCGCAGACTCTACCTTCCACCCCATTTACGCTGGAGACTCCTCCCCGTGCTGCTCGGCAGTCCACTGCGCATCACCCCAGCGGGATCCAACGCACTGGGGCCAGAGCGTCTCCACCTGGGCAGGAGAGGGGGGGACGAAACGCGAGGAAAGGGAAGAGCGACACGCGAGGCGAGGACGGAATGCGGGGAGAGGGGAGGACGAACCGCGAGGAGAGGGGGGAGACGAAACGCGAGGAGAGGGTGGGAGAAGAAGGGACACGATGCGGCTGGGACCGCCCCACTTCCTGTTGCCCGCGCCCTCGCCCTCCTATTCCTCTCCTCCTCGACCTCCTCCTCCTCCTTCTCCTCCTCATCATCCTGTCCTCCTCCTTTTCTGCTCCTGGGGAGGCCACAAGGGTACTGATACCGCTCCTCCCCAGACCCCTCGTTCTGACAAAGATCTCGAGGCGAATCCAGCCGTGGCGACGAGGGAAAGGCAGCCGTGTCGGCAGATGTTTCTCCTCCGATCTCATGTTCCTGCTCCTGCTCCTCCTCGCCCCTGCTCCTCTTCGCCCCGGCCCTCCCACGGGCGGGGGGCGCTGCCCACACAGCTGCCCTGGGCACACCCGCAGCTCTATCATCTCCAGCTCCCTCTCCAACTCCGGCAGCAACCCCATGGGCACGGCGGCCTGCAGCCAGGGCAAGCCTGGCGGAGGGCTGGGAGGAGGGGACGGAGGGAGGGAGGATGAAGAGATAGCAAGACGAGGAGGGAAGAGGGAGGAGGAGGAGGAGGAGGAGGAGGAGGAGGAGGAGGAGGAGGAGGAGGAGGAGGAGGAGGAGGAGGAGGAGATAGGAGGAGGAGGAGGCGGAGGAGGAGGAGGAGGAGGAGGAGGAGGAGGAGGAGGAGGAGGAGACGAGCGTGTGTAGCAGTCAGTAGGGTGGCCCTTGTGGCCAGGGCAAGAGCGGCGATGGAGCACAAACATGCTTCATGCCGACGCGTGCGTCACTTAAGGTGCCCACGGAGTCCGTAACAGCGAAATGGCGGCGGCCGCAGGCGTGCCCCCCCCTCCTCCCTCCTCTCCTCCTCCTCCTCCTCCTCTCCTCCTCCCTCCTCCTCCTCCTCCTCCTCCTCCTCCTCTCCTCCTCCTCCTCCTCCTCCTCCTCCTCCTCCTCCTCCTCCTCCCTCCTCCTCCTCCTCCTCCTCCTCCTCCTCCTCCTCCTCCCCTCCTCTCCTCCTCCTCCTCCTCCTCCTCCTCCTCTCTCCTCTCCTCCTCCTCCTCCTCCTCCTCTCCTCCTCCTCCTCCTCCTCCTCCCCGCCTCCTCCTCCTCCTCCTCCTCCTCCTCCTCCTCCTCCTCCTCCATTTCCATTTCCTCTTCCACCTCCTCCACCTCCTCGTCCTCGTCCTCGTCCCGCCCCTGCGGCGCCGTGGTCGAGGACCTCGGGCACTGGCTTTGGGCGCGCCCGCGATGGCAGGCGACGCGCCGCGCGGCTTTCGCGCGACGAGCGGCTTCACCCCGGCCGCCGCGCGCGACCGCGTGCCCGCCGGTCGGGACCGCGAAGGCCGCGGTGGCGCCTCTGGGCCCCCGCCCGCAGGCCCTGGCGAGCGACGCCCAGCGGGGCCCGCTCGGAGTTGAAACGCGAGGGGCTCCCGCTCGAGACTTCACAGCGAGGCACTCACGGACGCGGCTCCCGAGCGAGGCCTCCTCAATCTGACTGCGTGCGTGAAGGTGTGCGATGATGAGGGGCGATGATGATGATGATGATGATGATGATGATGATGATGATGATGATGATGCTGCTGCTGCTGCTGATGATGGTTATGATGATGGTGATTGGGATGATTATGGTTATGATGATGCTGCTGATGATGATGACGATGCTGATGACGAATCTCATGATTTGTGTCATTCCCCTTTATGTGTTATGATGATGATGCTGATGATGATGATGATGATTAGTAGTAGTAGTAGCAGTAGTAGCAGTAGTAGCAGTAGCAGTAGTAGCAGTAGTAGCAGTAGTAGCAGTAGTAGCAGTAGTAGCAGTAGTAACAGTAGTAGTAGTAGTAGTAGTAGTAGTAGTAGTAGTAGTAGTAGTAGTAGTAGTAGTAGCAGTAGTAGCAGTAGTAGCAGTAGTAGCAGTAGTAGTAGTAGTAGTAGTAGTAGTAGTAGCAGTAGTAGTAGCAGTAGTAGCAGTAGCAGTAGTAGTAGTAGTAGTAGTAGTAGTAGTAGTAGTAGTAGTAGTAGTAGTAGTAGTAGTAGCAGTAGCAGCAGCATTCGCATCCGTATCCGTAGTCGTAGTCCCATGAGTCATGCTATTATCCCCATGCCGCTGCTGATGCCGATGCTCAGGGCAGCTAGGCCTCCGAGATCCTGGCGCTCCCACTGCTTCACAATGACCGTTCTCGCCCAGGGTCGGGCCCCGGGGCCCTCACACACTGGCCACCGCTCGGACGCCCACTCCCCTGTGTGCTTTTTGTCGGCTTTGTGCGTGGCTTCTTCGCAGGACGATCCAGGATGCTCCTTAAGAATCCCCGCCGAGACAAAGTGCACACGTCCGAGCTCCGAGCGATGCCAAGCATATCGATATGGCTCGAACGATCACGCGCAGATGTGGGGTCCAAGGCTCCAGGCGAGATGTTTTGCAACGCGGGCGATTTGTTGTGCAACGCCAGACATCAGGGTCGTGCGTTGCTCGCAGCGTGGACACCCGAAAGCCTGGACCCCTTCCCCAGGACCGGCTTCTCATCCCGAGCACGGCGAGGGGACCGGATCGGGAACCATCGGATAAGGAATCCAGGGTCTGGAAGCAAATGGAACTCCAGTCGTGGATTGGCCAGGGATGCCGCCGCCGCCCTCCTCACCCAAGGCGTCCTCCAGGGTCCGAGGCCTCCTGCGCACATTCCTGACCGACGCCCCGCCGAACTTCCTTGACGGTCCCGTGGCCTGGTGGGGGCCCCCGGAGGCAGAAAATGACAAAACAACTGCCGTGCTGATTTTTGCACGACGAATGATGTGCGGTTGTCAGGCCTTAGTCGGGCGTTGGCAAAACTGGGTTTAGTGGGACCTGGTTTAGTGATGTGTGCTGGGGGACGCCCCCCCCGCCCCATTCCACTAGCCGGAACTGCCGTCACCCGACAGACACCAGCTGCGGCAGACCTGGTTGAGTGATTCTGGCCGGTTTAGAGGCTGGACGGGGCCCTACCACTAACCGGGTCCCCTTATCTGGGGTCCTGACTATACCCGACATAACTCGGGTTGCTGGCGGCCGTTCGGGACGATCTGGTCACCCCTGGGACGCTCTCGGCGAGACGCAGCTGCTGGAGAGCATCTCCAGGTGCAAAGAGCCCGAGGGCCAGCAAACATCTCCAACGCCTGCCACCGCCCTCCCACTTGATCTCTCACGGCGAGGTAACAGGTGGGGGAAGGGGGCCGGCGGGTGCCATTGGCAACGGCTTCCCAAGAGGTGGTGGATCCTGGGCTTCGCGGCCTGCGGGTGCACGGTGGGGGCCCTCGGAGGCCGAGAATGGCCAGAACCCGACCGCCGCGAGATTCTCGCGATGAAGAGGACGGACGGGAAGACAACGGGGGCCATGACCCAAGACTGAACGCGGAAGCGTCGTGTCGATCTTAGTCACCGTCGACCTTGGCCAGCGCCAGTTCGTAGGTCGTCCTCGCGACTGGGCGACGACCGACATCGACCATGACCCAAATCGGGATCGACAAAATGCCACGGCCAGGAGGTGGGAGGTGGAGGAGGAGGAGGAGGGAGGAGGAGGGAGGAGAAGGGAGGAGGAGGGGAGGGAGGAGGGGAGGAGGGAGGAGGAGGAGGGGGAGAAAGAGGAGCGAACGAACCCCTGGGAGAGGCGCGTCGATCTATAATGGGCGCGCACCGCCGTGCGCGCTCGGGCCAAGCCTCAGGGCGAGCCGCGAGGCCTGCATGTAGTTCTTGTGGTTGATGTAGGAGTTGTCGACGTTGTTGTCGATCTTGATCGAGTGGTAAAATCTGTAGACCACTGCAAGACGCACGAGCACGTGGTCAATCTTGTCGTCGTCGGCCCCGAGCGGGTCGAAGTTGATGTCATGCAGGCCTAGCCTGGCGAGTACACATTTGTGGAGTCGTCCGCGTGGCAGTGCAGCATGGTGCCACAGGCGCTTGCAGACCAAGTAGTGGCTGAAGGCGTCGGGGTGAAACTTTGGGTTGCAACCAAGAACCCAACCACGAAGGCCAGGTTGAACATGCATACGGTATGACGTGGCCCACCCGCCCGAAAGCGTCTTCATCACAGGCCAGAAGCGCGAAGGCGGCAACTCGGCGATCTTCGGGCGGATGCGGTTCCACGCGGGCTTCATGTTGTAGGGTAACTGGATGAGGGAGGTCAAATCGTTGTCGTCCGCGTACGCGTTGGTGAGGTCGTCGGTGATCAATGGAGTGGAGTCCGAGTCATTGTTCTGGAAACCGGCGTCGTGGATCCAGCGGCGCCGAGCGTGGTGTTCATTAGCTGCACGTTCGAACCTCTGCTGTAATTCGGCGGTGCGGGGAGGATTGAACGCGGCGGAGGTCTGAAGTCTGGAAGCCGATGTTGATTGCCAAGCCTGCGTACAGATACGTTCAGCACGCCTGCGGAGCTGAGCGTCAGTTTGGCCACGGAAGAGGACGCGAAGACCGTCACGACGAAGTAGACGAATAATAAAGGTTTCGCACCATTCATGCCAATCGTCGACGTCCCATTCATGTAGTGGTTGAGCGAGGTAAATCGAAGGAAGCCAATCGGAGGCCCAGTGCTGCAGGCATTCCGCGACGGTCTCGAGCTCGTTGGCGGCGTTGCGCATGTCGTGGTCGTCATCATCAGGCGTGCTGGGTACTTGTAGATGAAGTGGTGGAAATCGTTGGAGGCGTAGTGAATCGGAGTTGGCAGCATGCGGCGCGGACGGGAGGGTGGGGAACCAGGCCCGAAGGCGGGCGGCGATGGTGGCGTCGAAGGAGTCTTCGTAGAGCACGCGCTGCAACGTGATCATGTAAGTAGTCTGCGGTGACCTCTTTGGAGGATCATCGTCAGCACGGCGAAGTTTGTCCAAGACCCGATGAGCAGCCGCACGGGCGAGTTCATGAGCGTGGCGTAGCTGATGGTGAGCCAGATGATCGTGACGGCGGCTGCGCTTGATGATCTTGAAGATGGTGCCCTTGTGGGTGGAGTAGTTGTCGCCAAACTTGGCCGCCCGCAGGTGTTGCGCGATCGAAGTAGCAGAGGCCCAGCATGGCGCAGTCCAAAGTCCCTGGGCAACTCGGACGAGAGGGATCTGATCGAGTGCAGCGAGATGGTGAAGTTCGAGAAGCTGGGGCCAGGCATTGATGGTGGAAGTAGCAGAACGCCACAGCGTGGCAGCCAGCAGGACTTCGACACCAGTGGGGATGGCGCAGCCCGCCCAGTTCGTCATGCCGAGGATGTCGAGCTTGGTGAATGCTGAAGGAGCAGATCTGATAACTTTGTGGAGAGCATGAATTTCTTTGGAAAGAACGAGTTCTGGAGCAGGAAATAGTTGTCCTACGTAGGTGAGGCAAGTGATCGCGGAGGAGTTGTACAGCGAAACGTTCAGCTGGATGGCAGCGGAGGCGTCGCCCAAAATCTGGGTACGATGGTACCACTTGGCCGCGGGGGCGGCCCATTGAGCTCGATCATCCGCACAGGGACCGATGTAGACTCCGAGGTGCTTTGCCTTGCCGTCGATCTTGAACTGGGACCAGGCGGGGTTGATCGTTCTAAGCGTGTCGCGCATGGCGCCGTCAACCTCTTCGTAGCCGTTGGTCCAAACAGGGACGAGCACGCACTTCCGAGGTTGGAGCATCAAACCTGCGAAGGATTGGGCCGCTTCGGTGTGCGGAAGGATGCCTTGCATGTCGCGCAAGTGTGCTAAGACGCAACCAATATCATCAGCACAAGCACTGGCCATGCCACGGCCAATCTGACGAAAGTGGCGTTGAATTCCATGTAGGATGGGGTCGAACACCAGGGCCCAGATGGTGCCACTGAGCGGGCAGCCCTGGGCTACTCCGCTGGACGCAACGAGAAGTGGTCGACGTGTGCCTCCCAGCTCGAGGAAGGCGATGGGCGAGGCGTAGAAGGACTGGAGGAGGCGACGGACGCGTCCATCAATCCCCCATCTGCGAATCACTTCCCATAGCCAGGCGTGAAGCAAGCTTGGGAAGGCGGCCGCGATGTCCATGCTGAGGAAGCACGGCATGTGCTCGGTGGCGTTGTCCATGGTGCTGTAGATGCGGCTGTACGTGTCAGCTTCGACTATGTCGTTGAGGAACTGGCGGCCAGGTACGAAGCCTCGTTGGATACTCGACACTTGCTTGACTATCGGATGTAGCTTGCGGTTGATGGCGGAGGCGGCAATCTTTACGTCGGTGTTCTTCATCGCGAGAGGGCGGAGTTGGTCTGGCGACCGAAAGCATTCTGCATGACCAGCAGGCGCGTCACCTTTTGGTAGCATGGCTAGTAGAGCGTGGTTCCAATCGTGCGGGATGATGTTGTTGGCGGAGATGTTAGCCACGAGTTCTTCCAAGATCTCGAAGCTGTTGGGAGTGGAAGTCCAAGCTTTGCAAGGAAGGCCATCTGGACCTGCGGCGGAGTCATGTGCTCGTTTTGCTGCTTCTTGAAGCTCTTCGGCGTTGGGGAGTTCCAGCGCAACAGGGTCACGCTGGGGGAAGACGGTATCCAGGTAGGCGTTCATGTTGGCAATGTTTACTGGCTTGTCTGCGAAGATCGGGCCCCAGTGCACAAGTATGGCGTCGTGCATGTCCGATGGCGTCTTGGCGATGATGGAAGAGTCGCCTTGCGAGATTCGGATGCCAGCGAGCACCAGACGCTTGGAGAATGGTTTCCAAAGCTCCCCCAGTCTGCGTGTGGCACTGGCGCGTTTCCGCCACCTGTCTCCTTGTTGACGCTGTAGACGTTGGTAAGCGTCCCGGGCACGTGCGGCGGCGAGGGCGCGACGTTCTTCAGCGACTGCAGCGTGAACTTCAGCAGCGGCATCGGCAAAGGCGTTGGCGTTGCTCAGGCAAACCTTACTTGAGGTGATGTCGGAGGAGTTGTCAATGATGATCTGAAGGTGCTTGGAGCCCAGGTGGGTGGTGTCGATGAGGAGGCGCGCCAGCTTGATGTCCTGGAACCAGACCGCGCGGGAGATGCTTCTCATGGTCATCGAGTTGACCTCCTTGGAAATCGATAGGTGGTCGCGTGCCAGGACTTCAGGCGGTAGTCGCGCAAGAGCATCTCGTGTGGCCTTCGCGGCGTTCGTCATGTTGGCTTTCAGCGCGCGCCATTTGATGATGGGCGTGAACGTGTCGTATTCGGTGTCGGCGGTGAGCTTGTCGATGAAGAACTTGTAGAAATCGGAGTTGAAGAGGAAGGCGGGGATGCCTCGCTCAGAATTGGGCCGTTGGACTCGGGGGCGAAAACGGACATGAAGGAGTTTATGGTCACTGGCGGGAGTCCCTTTTCGTTCGAGAGGTGGGTCATCGGCCACCATGATCGTCTCAATGTGGGTAAGATTATGTGCTTGAAAGGAGGTGAAGAAGCGGTCAATGCTTGACTCGGTGTTGTTCGCGTAGCAACGGCGGGTGGTGGACGGAGTGCAAATCTCGACCAGCGGTCGGAAGAGCTGCTTCCAGAATGCGGGCTGGAACTGGTATCGTTCGTGAGCAGGCACTTCGACAGGACGTAGTAGACTGCGAGCAGGTAGTTCAGAGATGTTGAAATCGCCGAGCATGAAGAACATAACGTGTTCAGGGTCGCTGATTGCTTCGCATAGTGCCACTTGCCACGTGGCCTTGATCCGTCTTCGGTCGCCAGCAGTGAGATCATGGTTATGAATGTTGAGGTAGATATGGAGGTACTTCAGGCTGGGGTCGCGGATACGCAGTCCGGCGACACGACCAGGGATGACCGCGGAGAAGTTGATCATCGGCATGGCGTCGTCCTGGTCGTCGTAGGGGAGGAACTTTGGGATGAGGGAGGCGACGCCGCCCGCCGCATTGGAGTCGGGGATGCCACTGTGGTAGACGTCGTATTTGGCGCCCGTGGAGTTGATGAGGCTGTGAATCATCTGCGATGTGCCGTGGGTCTCCTGAATGGCAATGAGGGAGTGCTTGGCGAGGTAGGGCTTGAGGATGGAGAGTTTGGCGTCTCGCTTGACGATGTTCGAATGCACCAGTGCCTGGGCATTCCAGCTGACCACTGAGCATTCAGTCAACGATGAAGTGGTAGTCGCGCTCCAAGGGGTCCATTTGCTGTTGAATCCACGACGCTGATGTGGTTGCATCCGCAAAGGCAGCGGCAAGGGCGTCGGCACATGAAGTACGCATCGCGGATGTAAGGCCAACACCTTCAGCAGCGTCAGACCATTGAATCTTGGTTGCCATCTCAGGGCGGGAGCCCACCTGGATGCGGACGATGGGCACATTGTCGATGGAGAGGTAGCCGTCGGTGCGGTGGATCTTGGGGTTGAGGTCCTGCTTGGCATTGTTGATGATCCTTGCCAGCTTCTTGAGCTGGATCTCCTGCCTGACGAGCTTGGGGCTCTTGTCCGCGCTGACGTAGCATGGAGCGCCGCCGATTGAGAAAGTACGCCATTCTCGACCCATGCGAAGGTGATGATGGAGCGCTTGGGCACGTGGTACTGCGACGGCATCTGCTCCGAGTACAGTGATGGAGACCCGCTTGGCAGGAGCGGAGTTGTTGTAGCGAACCATAGACACGTCGATGTTGGCCGCCGAGTACCATTCGGTGATGGCAGACTTGAGAGAAGCTTGTGTGATGTCCACAGTGGATGCAATCCAGAAGGTGCCGATGTGTGGGGCCCTGTCCCACGAACCAATGTTGCTGACGTCGAGCGAAGGAACTTGGGCTTCAGCCTGTGCAATGGCAGTTTTGATCTTGTCCACCGCGTCGTTGAGGTTCTTGGACTCCACTTCGGAAGCGGAGACGCGTTGCTTGAGGGAGACGATGTCGTTCTCGACGTGGTCTTGGCGCTCGGTGAGCTTGGCCGTGATGTTGGTGGTGTGCGTGATGAAGCTGGCTTGAGACGAGGCGGCGACTTTCTCTGCGGTGGCCTTGAACTGTTCGGCTGCATCAGCGACTTGAATGGCCAGGTGCTTCTCGATCTCGGAGCGGAATAGTTCAAGTCTTTCCTTTTGTGCAGCGTCTTGCCATGGATCTTTGTTGTTCCGAGGACTCCGTTCGCGTCGATCACGCACGGTGGCAAGGTCGCGCGTCTCGGGCATGTTGAGAGCACACCGCAGATCGCAGAGTCTGACTTCTCGAACTTCAATATGGAAGTGGCCGCGGCACCACAGGCAGACAATCCCGCGTGGATATGTAAAAGGAGCAGAAAAGAACACTCCTGAGCTGGCCCTGGAACAAGGGTATGCCATGAAAACCTCTTGGCGCTATGCCAAGCAACATTGGGACCTTGAGCCAAAATGGCTACGGAGGGGGAGAAAGAGGAGGAGGAGGAGGAGGAGGAGGAGGAGGAGGCCACGACATCGTGGCCATGGCTCCCGTTCTATTCCTTCGAGAGGAGGGAGGGCGAAGCCGTTTTCACAATGTGGCTCTCGCCGGAGCGCCGCGCGCTGCAAGCGCCTGCAGCGTTTTCACACATGGAATGCGGCTCGTTTTCCAGATGTGGCTCTCGCCTTAGCGCGGCGCGCATCCGACTTCATCTCTTGCATCAGTGTCAAGGGTTCGTACGGATGAGGACAGGGCGCAAGTGCCACGTTGATGCGCGGTGTGGACATTCAATGGATGGTGCTCTGGCAAGATAAAGGACTTTCAGGACTCAGCAGTCAGCGGCGCGGAAGTCCCAGGACTGCTGTTTTGGCACGATTGCAGGTTCTCAGACGGTTGCCTTTCAGTGGGACAGTTCCCGCAATGAAAGCAGTTTCTTGTAGGGACCTGTGAAGAGGGAGCGTGGGGGAGGGTGTGTTGCATCACCGTTGATGCGTCTTGGCTTTACACTGGTTCTCCTTCTTGTTCCTCCTCATCCCCACCTTTCTCTCCTCCTCCTCCTCCTCCTGCTTGTCAACCCCTCGTCATCCTCTTCGCTCGACAGGCCTGCGACGCCGGCCATGAGAACTTTGGAGAAGCAGCCGCCCATGTAGACGAATTTGGTCGTGACCCTCCGCGTTCGGCGGGTGTGGTGTGTGGGGGGGTGGGGGGTGGGGGATGAGCAGGAGGAGGGTACTGAGGGGAATCAGGAGGGAGAGGAGGAGGAGAGGGAGGAGGGGGGGCAGAGCAGACACAAGCAAAATGCATCAGAGATGCTGCAGCACACCTCCTCCTCCGCCTCCTCCTCGTCCTCCTCCTCCTCCTTCCCCTCCTCCTCCTCCTCCTCCTCCTCCCTCCTCCTCCTCCTCCTTCTCCTCCTCCTCCTCCTCCTCCTCCTCCTCCTCCTCTTCCCTGCTGTCCCAAGTCCCTCCCTTGCAACTCCATGCGGGCATTCCTTTCGCTACGGTGAAGCTCCCCCCTTGACAGAGACGAACGCCACCGTGGCCCGCGATTCCTGCGAGAGCCTCGTTTTGAAGAGGAGTTTGGCCTCCGCCTGTCTAGGTGTAAGTTACACCACCTGTTGGGGCAAATTCGGTCGAGTTGTGCTAGCGAGGACGCGAGAGGACATACGACTCTTCAGATGGCAGCGTGGTCTTTGAATCAGGACAGATTTGTCCAAGGAGTGCAGCATACATGTGATGCAGTAGACACGACACAACAGTACCCGTCGTTTGGGAGGGTCGGCTTGACTGTACGTGTAAGGAAGTGGGCAACAAAAGCTCCGTATTGAAACTAAGCCACCCTGTATCTGAAAAGCTGTTGTACGATTGTACACGCGTGGCCATAAAAAAAACAACACATGGATGTCAAAAAGGAAACTCCATGTTGAACAGTAAAACCATCCATCCGTGAAGGGGACACTTTGGCAACGAATGTGGCCGTCCGAAGGCGAGACCTATATTTGGGACAACCTCCGCCCCCCAACCGTGTAGCCGCTGGGATGTGCGCAGAATTGAAGCGACAGCCACAGGCTTGAAACGCGCCCTACATCTGTGAAGCTGCTGGAAATGGTAAAAGACAAAACGCCACAGTGTCGATAATCACCTCGAATAACATGTCGAAATCACAATGTCGATGATCACAATAGGGAATCGGCGCAAAAGCGAAAACCACATGTCGAAAATCTCCTCACCTCCCCCCGTGCAGCGGTCGGCAACTACGCACGGACGAGCGCGCACGATGTCCAAGCGATAGCAGCATGTTGTTGGCGACCACGCCCTGCTCGCCGTGAAGTCTCGTCTTGTGGGCCGAGATGGAAGTACGAATCTTGGAGATCTCAGATGGACGTGCGACTCTTGTATGCCGACAACGATGCGGATGAGGAGCGTGCGCATTGCGAGGAGGAGGGAAGAAGAGGAATTGCAGGAAGAGGAGGAGGAGGAGGAGGAGGAGGAGGAGGAGGAGGAGGAGGAGAGGAGGAGGGAGGAGGAAGAGGAGGAGCAGCAGGAGGAGGACTAAGAGGAGGAAGAAGAGGAGGAGGGAAGAAAAGGAAGAGGAGAGGCGAGACCGAGCGCGAGCCGGTGTTGCAAGCCTTGGCTCTCCCCTGCTCAGCTCTGCGGACCGCCTGGCCCGAGGTATGGGAACACCTCGTCGCGTCAAACCAAAAAGCAAGATTTATAGTCGAGGACGTTTCGAGTGAGAGTCCCATTTCGAACAGGAGCCGCCCTCCACCGGCATCTGTGGGTGTTGAAAGTGTCCTGGTCGTGGGCTTTCAGGAGGGTTCGACCCAGACCCCCATCTTTGAAAGAGAGCCGCCCTCCATGCGTATGAACTTGTTGGAAATTTGTATGGGGAAGGCACGCGGCCATAAGGCAAGAACCATATTTGTAAGACACCTCACACCTCAACCCGTGTAAGCGTTTGGGGACCACTTAGCACGAATGTACGCGCCACTACAACGATAACTGGACGCCCTCCATCCATGTAACGGTTTGGAATATTTGAGGCGAGTGTGCGCGGCACCAAGATGACACTCTAGTGAGACGATGTCACATGCGAAACGGCCTACTCGCCCCACCGACACGCCTGGTGGTGCGACGCTGAGCATTTACTTCTAAGGACAATGTAGAAAAGGTGAGTGAGGATGAGGGTCAGGATGGACAGCAAGAAGCTAGTAGGGAGGATGGGGAGCAGCACCACTACCAGCTAGTGGGGAGGATGGAGAGGATGGGAAGCTAGTAGGGAGAATGGGGGGAGGAGCACGAGCAACAACATCAACGTCAACACAATGTACCAGGACCTGCCATCAGCAACGCTACCAGCAGCAACACGATCCGCAGCGACACCAGCAGTAAGAGCACTACCAGCAACTACCAGGCGACGCAGCAGCACGACCAGCTGCTGCGCGATGTTGGACCATCGGCGCTGCCAGCGGTAACATCACCAACGGCAGCCACGTTCAAGTTGCTCCTTGGCTTCTGTCAAGGGCACACGGGTCCTTGGCAACAAGCCTGCCAGTCAGCGGCTTTGCAGCTCCTGGCCAATCGCTTCGAAACGTACGCAGATGACCACATACCTGATGATGATGGGAGGGGGGGAGAAAAAGGGCCACGATGAGGACACGGAGGACTATAGAGGAGCAGGAGGGAGATGTGGAGCAGGATGAGGATCAGAATGGTAAAACTCAGATGAGTGAGAGAACATGTTGATATGGAGGGCAAGCAGAGCTAGGCAGGACAAGGAGGAAGATGAGGATACAGAGGGCGAGGGAGCGGACCTCCTCATTTTTACGTTCGACCAACCTGAGCGTGAAGCTGTGGCGTTTGTCCTCATCCTCTTCCTCCTCCTCCTCATCTTCCACCTCCTCCTCCTCATCCTCCTCCTCACCTCCTCCGCCAACTCTTCCACTGTGCACAGCTCCTTTCTGCTGGCGCATGACGCGATGGGGCCATTCGAGGGGTGCCTGGTCCGCTGTGACACCCGTCGGCGGATGGAGGGGGCACCAGCACTGTGGGAAGGGACGGGCGGCATGGGGCAGGACGACGACGACGACGACGACGACGACGACGGCGGCGGCGACGGCGACGACGACGAGGCGCGAGCGCACCTGGCTTCTCCTCCCTTCGGCTGCACGCAGGGAGCGGCCCCGGGCGGGGGTGCCCTTTGGTGCGCGGCCTGCCGCCCGCTGCGTGCGAGGCGGCAGCGGCGGCCGGCGCGCTCGGGTCGGCCCCCAGGGCGCCCCCCGGAGGGCCGCTCTGGCGGAGGGCCGCTCTCGCGTGGGGCCTCAGCTGGCCCGAGGTACGCAGCACGCCACACGTAGCGTATCGATACGGAGCTCAACAAGTACCGTCGGGGCGTTGACCTCAGGAACCCTAAAGAAGGAACGAGGCCCCTGCTTCCCATAAATGAGCCTTCCATTTCCCACGGAAGCCTTAGGAAAACCCAAGGCAACCTGTAAAACAATCAAGGAACACCGAGCCCCTCCCCAGCGAAAAAGATTCCTTCTTCAGCGCCCCGACTGTAGGCTGCAGACGTGGGCATGACGCGGCACGCTCGCCAAAGCGCGCGCCAGTGCGCCGAGCCAACTCGCAACGTATTGACACGGACTGTTTGAGCGCGGTGCGTGCAGCGTTTCAAGACGGCCGCATCGAGGCAGCTCAGCGTGTAGCTGATCCCTCCCTCCCTCCCTAGAAGAACAAACAACTGCATAAACAGAAACTTGTGGCGCTCCGCACGGATTTCTTGGATTTGCGCTGGACCCCCCCTCACTGGCGCGCGGAGCGCGCCAGGGGCGGCGCCGCAGGCGCCGCCTGGGGCTGGGGGGGGGGCAGCGCGGATCCAAGAAACCCGCGCGAAGCGCCAAAAGCTTCTGTTTGTGGCGTCTTCTCTTCTTCGACCCCCTGCCCCCCCTCCCCTGGCCGGATCGGGTGGGCGAACATCGCCGGGACGAAGTGCGGCGACAGCTGCGCCTCGCCCCCCCCCCCCCGCGTCAGAAGGGTGCAGGGCGGCGCCGGGTCTCTCGGCCACGGGCGCGCGCGCGGGGGGGGGTCATGCCGAGGACGAGGAGGGGTCCTGCCTGCGCTTCACAAGGGGTCTCGGGTCGCCTGCGCCCGTCATCGCAGGAGGAGGAGGAGGAGGAGGAGGAGGAGGAAGAGTAGGAGGAGGAGGAGGAGGAGGAGGAGGAGGAGGAGGAGGAGGAGGAGGAGGAGGAGGAGGGGAGGCGAGGGAGGGCTACATGATGAGAATTTTCCAGGCGAGGGAGGGCTACGTCAGGAGGATTTTCCAGCCGTCAGGGACCAGGAACCAGGAGGCGAGGAGGAGGATGGGATGGGGGAGGGAGGAGGCGGAGATCGGCGCGGAGACGGAACCGCCGCCCCCTTGCGTCGCGAAGGAGTCACGACGGGAAACTTTTCGTGGCTATCGGCATCCTGGGGCCCTCGCCAGAGGGCCGCCAAGTGGCGGCGCGCACCAGCGGGTAGGGGGAGTGGGGGACGGCTTCTTAGAAGAAGGCTGCTTCCTAGAAAGCGCCGGCCTTACCTCTGTAGGCAAGGCCCGCGCTTTCCAAGCAGCAGAAGCACTTCTGAGAAGCCTTCCCCCTCCCCCTAACCCCCTCTGCGCGTGGCTGAGTCAAGAAACGGCTCAGGATCAGAAGCCGATCCCGGGGAACGGGGTCCAGACCTCCAGGAGCCCACGTTGCGAGAACCTCGGAGCCTTTCAAAAGCAAACTTGGGATTCATCAATTATGCAGTGGATCTCCTGCTGGAATCCTCCCGCCATTCTGTCTGCTGTCGCTCGCTCGCACCCCACCTCGTAACAAAAGTCACGACGGCTGGTTTCTGTAATGTTTCTCGGCCTTCGCTCAAGAAACGACCTGGGATGAAAAGCTGGTCCCAGGGAAATGGTCAAACTCTCCTGGGGTCCACGTTGTGAACAAAGCAGGACGTCGAAGTTCTGGGGTGGCACGAAGACTCGACATATTGGCCACCTACACTGCAGCCGAGAGCTGGGAGCACGAGAAGGGGGGACAGGGGGGAAAAGAGCGCGTGTGTGCTATGTGCGGGAACTGCGCCAGTGGCTCTGATGAGTGCTGGGTCGTCCTCACAGTGGGACTCACGTTGCATGTGCACACTTGGTGCCTCCATTCCTTTGCAATCATGGTGGTGGTAACCTGTCTCTTCTTGATGCTTGCCGTAAATGTTTGCAAGCCGAGAACCGTGCCTGCGGTGCCGTGGGACGGTGAATAACTGGACGGGTCAACCAGCAACGCTTGCCCCACCAACTGCGCATCTGCCCTGCTTTGCTGATGAGGAGAGTGCATACTCTGCAGGGGTCAGGAGGAGCAGGAGGAGGAGGAGCAGGAGGAGGAGGAGGAGGAGGAGGGGGAGGAGGAGGAGGAGGAGGAGGAGGAGGAGGAGGAGGAGGAGGAGGGGGAGGAGGTACGAGCGCCGCCGCGCCCCCTGCACGTATAGCCGGCGCGGGCTCTCGGCTCCGCTGGCTCCCCCGAGCTCCGAAATCGTCTTCTCTGCACAGCGTGGGCCCCCGGAAATCTGCACGCCTTCCCCTCCTCCTCCTCCTCCTCCTCCTCCTCCTCCTCCTCCTCCTCCTCCTCCTCCTCCTCTCCTCCTCCTCCTCCCTGGGCCCGCTGCTCATCCCGGGCTGTTCCTTGACGGTCCTGGGGCCCAGTGAGGGCCCCTGGAGGCCGAAACCTGCCTACAGCCGTCCACCGGGTTATTTACGACGAGGGGGAGGTGGGGGATGAGTAGGAGGAAGAGGAGGAGGAGGAGGAGGAGGAGGAGGAGGAGGAGGAGGAGGAGGAGGAGGAGCGTAGCAATAGCAGATAGTGATGCTGATGGTGGTGGTGGTGATGATGATGATGATGATGATGATGATGATGATGATGATGATGATGATGATGAGGATGATGACGATGAGGAGGTGGAGGAGGAGGAGAAGCAAGAGGAGGAGGAGGAGGCCGAGGAGTTAGGGTCTCCGGCGATCGTCTGGGACGTTTCGGGCACCGCTGCAACGCTCTCGGCGAAGCGCAGCTTCTGGGAAGCATCCGGAGGCTGGAAAATCTCAAGGCACCCACGAAAACAAGAGAAAAGGAGGACGGGAGGAAGAGGAGGAGGAGGAGGAGGAGGAGGAGGAGGAGGAGGAAGAGGCTGGGGCGATCTGGAAAGGCCGCGGCGCTCGATACATCCTCCAGAGCCGCCCAATCTCAACGATCTCCCTTTTGCCCTGGCCATGGCTTCGCCTTAGAAGATGATGAGAAGTAATGAACGGAGCTCGCGGAGGCGGAGGGGGAGGGCAGATGAGGAGGAGGCGAAGGAGGATGTGAGGAGATGAAAGGAGAAGGAGGATGATGATGATGAGGAGGAGGAGAACGAGGAGAAATAGGAGGAGAAGGAGGAGGAGGGAGGGAGGGATGAGGATGAGGAGGAGGAGGAGGAGAAGAAGGAGAAGGAGGAGGAGGAACAGCAGGAGAAGCGGGAGGAGGAGGAGGAGGAAGAGGAGGAGGAGGCGGCGGCGAGCAGGGAGGAGGAGGAGGAGGAGGAGGAGGAGGAGGAGGAGGAGGAAGAGAAGAAGGAGGAGGACCTGTGTAAACCCACGACGCACCAAGGATGTTGCAATAAACCCTCCCTCGGAATTTCTTCCTCTCATAAGTCCCAACAGCCGTTCATTTTGATTGCGGGAGTTACCCAGTTGGAAAACATGAGCCAGAAAATCCAAACATCGTGCCACAACACAAATCTTGGGACTTCAACGTCTGGGATGAACGTGGCTGTTGCGTCCTGACAATCCTAAAACGTGCCGTAACACCATACCTGGGACTTCGGCACCGCGAATCAACGTGACTGCTGCGTCCTGACAATCCGAAGTCGTGGCAGAACAACGCTCAGAAATTTCAACCATACGAAACCTTCAAATGACTGCAACATCTTAACACGATTGTGCGCGGTACTGAAGCGAGAGCCACATTTCGAAATCGGGCCGTCTTCAATCCTTGAAGCTGCTGCGAACTGTCCAGACGAATGTGCGCGGCGCTAATGTGACAGCCCCGTTATGAACACGGGCCGCCTTCCATCCTTGAAGCTGCTGCAAGTTTCGAAAACGAATGTGCGTGGTGCCCGAACGATAACCGCATGTTGTGAGCAGGGACCGACCGTCCCGGCATTCCTATAGGCCTACCACGAAATTTTCTTAGAAACCCGCATGTTCTAAAAACAAAACAATGTTCTGGTAACATAAGCCCCACGTTGAAAAAACAACACGGACTTAACCAGAAATGCTCTGAGAACCTTCCGCGCAGACCACCAAAGGTTCTTAGAATATTCTATATTGGGCCTATGGGCGAGCCGGGGCGCTTCGCCGCTGCTTGAATTTTGAAGACCGCCCGCCCTGCATCCATGACGCTGTTGCTGATGTTTAACTCCCGTGTCATACACGGGGGGGGAACTCTCAAGCGAAACGCCCAGCCCGCCCGACTGGCACGCCAAGGGCTGCGAGAGAGAGAGGAGCTACTCATGAGGAGAAGGCACGGGGGAGGAGGGGGGGGGAGAGGACGAGGAGGAGGAGGAGGAGGAGGAGGAGGAGGAGGAAGAGGAGGAGGAGGAGGAGATTTTCTCCACCGCTGGCGCACACGCCAAGTCCATGTGTCAGGCCCGTCCTGTCAGCGAGCACTGGGCACCGTGCAATCTAACATGCAAAAGACGGGGGAGGAGCAGCAGCAGGGGCAGGGCAAAGAGAAGCGGCGGCGGGCACTCTGCTCCGAGTGTACAGGATCCCTGGCGGGCGCGCGCCCCCCCCCCCCAAGGCACACCGTCCAGAATGGGATCACGCACTCGAGCATCCTTCCCACGCCGCACTCACTCCTCGGCTGACCGAGGGCCCAACCCACAGCGCAGCAGGCAGAAGCAGACAAAAGGGGCACGCCCAAAAAACGAGACCCCAACACACCGAACAAGGGAATACAAGACAGCTGGCCTCCAACGTGCCTCGGACTTCGTCGGGAACCTGATGGCGAGAGGGGAACGCTCTCTCGCGCGGAGCGGCTGCGGGGGTGCCTCGAACTTCGTCGGGAACCTGAGGGCAACGGCAGGGCGCGGCGGAGGGGGAGGACCTCCTCCGCGCCAGACGCAACGGGTGTCTGGATGCGCCACGGCTGGGCGTCGCGGGAAGGCCTGCCTACCCTACAGGAGCGACGAGCAGTCGACGCACGAACGAACCAGACCGTTCCGCCCGTCCGAGAACCAGTGGAAGTTCAAGGACAGCAAGAGAGGCTTGGCAGGCAATAGAGGCGGGGCGGCCGCGGGGCGGGCGGCGGGAGAGAGGCAGGGGGGCGGCGGCGCGGCAAGAGAGGCACTCTCTAGCTGCACCTCACCATCTTCACCTGCAGGCGGAGAGGGTCACAAAGAGCACTGAGCAGCGCCCGCAACCCTGGCGACAACACGGGGCCCTGAATTAACCAAGAAACGTCACAGAGCGCTGAGAAAGCACAACATCAGGAAAAACCTCGGAAAACCAGCCAGCCAACCCGAGAGACCCACCAGGGTCACATCAAACTCTGACAGCATCATGCATGGACCAATACCTAGGGGGCCACAGGGAAAAGGGGGGACAAAAAGGGGGGACACGGCAACTCAGGAGAGGAGGGGCGCGGCAGGAGGAGCAGGAGGAGCAGAGGGGAGGGGCGGCAGCAGCAGCAGTCAGACGCAGCGCACGCAGCGCCTCATTAAGCTTGGGGTGCCGACGAGACAACTGCCGAAGCCTGGCTTCTATAAGAAACTCACCCCGCTGGACCGAGCCAGTCCTGCGAGCATTATGCGCGGCCAGAAAGCAATCAATTCGGGCGCGCCCCACTAGGTCACGTGACCGCCCCCACTGTGGCCCCAAACAACAAAGAGTGAGGAGCCAATCCTCACCCGTTAGAGCCGCGGTCCAAGACCTCAGAAGTCCACCACGGGGGAAT